GGGGCGGGGGCGGGGGCGAGCGAGGGGGAGGGGCGCGGCTTTGCCCGCGCTCCTGCCCCGCGCTGCCAAGGGGCGGCGCCGGCTGGGGTCCGGCTCTCCGCGCCAAATTTTTAAATCGGAGGCGGAAGGTCCGGGCCCGCCCCTGACGCCGCCAGCCAATCGCCAGCCCCCGAACGGCACCCTGATTGGCTCGGAGTCGTTACCCTGGAAACCTGGAAGATGCTGTCCAGGAACTGTCCGGGTGCGACGCGCGGACTGCGCCCGGGGGGAGGGGCAGCTGGCCGGGCGGAGCGGGAAGTGCACGGACTCCCGGCGGGGTGGCGGCGGCCCCCGGAGCTGTACCTGGGTGCCCTCCTGAGCAGAGGCAGTGTTAGGTGATGCGGATCTACTGCATCGTGCCCCGCCATCCGAATAGCGAGGGCATAGCATTTGGCATCTCTCAGGACATTTTTGTATTAAAAAAAGCCTTGATCGTAAGGCGCTCTTTAAATGTCTGGCAATATGTTTGGAGCTTAGTGAATTTGGAAGTTTCATATCAATTTCTGGAGCCTTTACTGCCGAGTCTGTATGTGTGTAAGTTCAGGATTCCGGATGCAGACTGTATCCAGATATAACGTGTGTGTCTGCTTAGCTAGTCCCTGGACTCTGGACGCCCGGTCCGGAGCCCTGATCTGAGAACAGGTGGGAGCTTGCTGAAGTCTGTTCCTGGGTGGTGGGTCCGGATGTGGCCTACCGTCTCCAAAAGTGGGAGGGGGAGGAGGGTTGTCGCTGGAAATCCCGTGTTACTTGACGCCTCGTGGCATCGGCTCGGTTCTGCAAATCGGGATGCGGTTGCTAAAAGGGTCTGCTGGCCTGTTTGGAGTTCTGGAGCTCTCCCCGAGTCGGGAGTAAAATGTAAATCCAGTTTGTCAATTTCCCTTAGCCTTTGTTTCCGCGACTAGCCTGTCTCTGAATGCACTTTCCCCAGATCTCTTGATACTTGGCGTTTTCCCGAATGTTTTGTATTTCGTTTTCTTTAAGGCTATTAATGTGTAACGGAATTGATCGGACTACTTGAAGCATCGGGATTTGGGGAGGAACTCCAGGTTTTTCATTTTCAAAGAAACTCTCAATGTGTGAGGCATTGGCAGAATGGAGGACGAAAAGGTACTCTTTATGTCCAGTATTCACCCTGGCCAGTCTTTAATGGGGTAGCACCCTAATTTAATGCCATCATTTTTCAATACCCCACCCTTTCTTCGTGTCCTGTTCTCTTCTAGTTAACCCTTGCAAACGTCTACAGGGAAGGGCAATTGTATGTTTAATGGTGGGGTTGCCCAGATTAATCTAATTCTCGGTGGTTTGATGGAAGTCTCACTGTACGCAAAGAGGAAAGACATCGGGGGAGTAAAACCTACGAACGAATTCCGGAGGTCTTTTTAAGAAACTAAAATTTGTTAGCTGCATTAGGCTATTTCAGAGGGTACTTGAACAGTAGGAAATTAGAAAGGACATTTGACATAATAATTTGAGATTGAAATTCTTTTTAAGGTTTTTTGGGGGGAGAGGTGGAGATTGTCGCTTTTCTTAACAATGGGGTCTAGAGAAATGCCAATGAGGCCGTCGTGATTGGTGTCCTAATACAGATTAGGCTAAAACCGAGCAAACTCACACGTGCAGATATTCCGGAAACTTCAGGAGTTCAAATACAACAATTCTGATACTGTTCCTGATCATTTCAAGCAAAGGACCAAAGGGACGTTTAGAAAGAAAAAACCTCATTCTTGGGTCAGCACTCGATCTCAGAATCTCCCATGGGTGCACCAGTCTGACTTCCAGAGAACCGGCTCACAGTGCTGCAAAAAGTTCGTGGGCAAATGGAGTGAAAAGATCATAGATTTTTTTTTCCCCCGTGAGCTTTTTGAGGAGCCCGGTTCTGAGAAAGAGAAGAACCAATTTAAAGGCCTGTGTGGCTTTCTCTGCCTTGGTTCTCTCTTTGTCAAAGGAGGATGAATGTAGGGCCTGGTGAACTGACAAGGGAACGCTGGGTGTTGCAAGGACGACTTTCTGGTCAGAAGTTCTGCTCTTAGGTGCTCTGCTGCTCCCTACTGGATTTTCCTGACAAGTCTAATCATAGGCTAGCCCTCACCCCTGCCTCGGTGGCTTCCTGACTCTCCTGTGCCACAGGTGGCTTGCAGAGCACCTCTGGCATGCAATCAGCACAGTCAGACATACAGGTTGCTGGGACATGGTTTCTGCCCCCGAGGCACATCTGGCTTACAGTGTCCTGCATAAAAGGAACTCCTAGGGCGTTGGGGGTCTCATCAAGTCACGACTCTTATTAGGTGAAGCTTGTTGAACAGTATATGAGAACTCTCTATACTATATTTGCAACTCTTCTCTAAGTCCCAAGATGTTTTAAAGTAAAACGTTTTTTTAAAGTAGCAAGTCCTAATTCTGTCTTTTTTTCTTTTAATTCTTGAAACAAGAGGTGAACGATTTTAGATTTGTGTTTTGCTGCAAAATTAAAAATGGGAAATTTAGCTATTAGAATAAATAACACGTGTTGAGTGTTGGTTGACATGTCATTATTGATTTATTCAACAATATAGCCTCATTAGGCATTTTTTAAACAATGTTTCATTGATTGTTGTCATTTCTAGAGTCAAAAGCCCTCTGATAAATAGAATGGCCTTCATTATATAACCTTCTTTTTTTTTTTGGAACTAGGAAAACCTCTTTTTTGAGCCACATAAGAAGGTGCTGCTGAGAACACCTCTGAAAGAATCTACAACCCTGAACACAGGGTTGGCAGAGATCCAGCCTGACTTGGGCCCTTTAACCACCCCCACCAAGCCCACAGAAGTATCCCCCGGGGAGCCGTGGACACCAACAGCAAACCTCAAAATGCTCTTCAGTGCTGTGAGCCCCGAGATTCGCAACAGAGATCAGAAACGGGGGCTGTGTGATGACCGAAGTGAGCGGCCTGGAGCCAAAGACTGCTTGCATGTAGGTGATCAGAGGGCTGGGTGGCAGCTGGGCATTCTGTTGCTGCAGGGAAGTGCCATCTGTCTGCAGTAGGCGGTCCTCACCCACCTTCAGGGCAGTGATTCTGAACTCATGCCAGGTTTTTCCTTCAGGCTTCTCTTTCAGATTTGCCAAGCAGTGCCCACTAGCTTCCCCCATCACCATCTTTTTGCTCTTCCTTCTGAACTTTGCAGTCATTGAAGCCATGTTCATGTAGAGGGTTAGTCGCTGCATTGCAAAGGCCCCTAGTACATGGGTCAAACTTGATCTGGGAGTAAAACGTTATTTGCCTTTTCTTTGTAGGAACACTTCTCTGGAGATGAATTTGAGAAATCCCAACCGAGTCGGAAAGAGAAAAGCTTAGGACTGTTGTGTCATAAGTTCTTAGCGCGGTATCCTAACTACCCCAACCCTGCGGTGAATAATGACATCTGCCTGGACGAGGTAGCAGAGGAGCTTAGTAAGTACACAGAGAACTTGCTGAAACCAGGGCGGGACTTAGAGTGGCTTTATGGATACTCCTTTAGAGCCAGGCTCATCTGGCCAGGCCGCCAAGCTCATCTGGCCAGGCCAATGATACAAATGTGGCCAGATGTAAATGTTGCTAAGCCTGTAATAACACCCTATTAAGAATGTAACAAACGTCGTCGTTTCTAATCAATGAAACTTGAAACAATACAACTCAATGCAGCAGAATGTAACGGCTGATACTGCTGCTGACGGCTTTTCAAGAGCTCTGAAGCTGACAAGGCAGCCTTGTTTTATGCCTTGTACCACTACCAGCTGCAACGCCGAAGTGCTGCCGTGTCCCTTCTTGAAGAGCATGCTGGTGAAGTTTATGACAGTGTATGCTGAGAATCCACTTCTGGAAGTGGCAGCAGGACTTTGGTGCTCTTGACCACTCGAAGGAGTCCCGTGGGTCTCGCAAACGGTCTGCACTCCACTAGGCCGGGAAGAGGGATGAGCATCTCGGAAGAAAAGCCTGTAGTACTGCCTTTCAGGATGCGTTCGTGCACACAACGACCACGATCTCCTCCCCCGTGGAACTTGACGTTCCAGTGGGGGCAATGGACAAGAAGTACAGAACGCCATCTGTGAGCTGTCATTCGAGTCGGCAGCGCAGTGGAGCTGCACTTCATAGGGCGTTCCAGGCTGTCACCGTTCAGACGCTGGTTGCCAGGCCTGGCTTCCAAGATGACCTACAGCTGCCTTTAAACCATCACTCCTTGGACGAGGGGTCAAGTCCCAAGTCATTATCATCTGGTAACAGTGGTTCTCAACCTGTGGGTCGCGACCCCTTTGGGGGTCCAACAACCCTTTCACAGGGGTCTCTCGATTCATAATAGTAGCAAAATGACAGGCATGAAGTAGCAAGGAGAATAATGTTATGGTTGGGGTCACCACAACATGAGCTGTACGAAAGGGTCAGGAGTCAGGAAGGCTGAGAACCACTGTGACAGAAGGTGGCGTGTGCCAGGGATACAAGCAAATGTAGAACAGAAGTAGGGAGGTCAGCGCTTTGCCATTCCAAATGCATTGGGTAGGGCAGGCTTCCCGGAGAAGGCTGTGAACAGCAAGAACTTGGTGACTTTTAACTTTTCATTGTGGTGGCTGAGGGGGTGGGTGGGCCTGGGGGGATAAAGGTTCACAGAACAAACTGGTTTCCCATTCAGCAGTTCATGTAGATTCATACTGTGTTTTAGGACTTTGATTGCAGTTCCTATATTGGCATCTCACTGTCCCACTTCCTCCCGCACCCGCGTGTCCTGTCTCCGTTCATCCTCCTTTCTTGCCCCTTCCTGCCTTCGGAGCTCTGTCCCTGCTCAGGCGCTGCTCTTTGGTCTCCTGTGGTTGGCTGGTCCAGAGCTTGTGAGCCGCTGGCCTGATTGCTCACCATGTACTCATGGCCGTCTTTTCCCTGAAAGCTGAGTCATCAGGGTGAGTTCCGTTGCAAGCCCAAGAGTGACTAAGGACCATCCCTGAGGGAGTTTCATCCGTTTCTTTCATCCCAGTAAACCCAGTCTTTTTTTTAATGGTTTTAAACATTGCTCAATTTATACTTTTCTCATTTTATCCAACCCTTTCTAACACGATCTCTTCCAGAATGGTTGGTAGTGGTCAGCAAGCACCATCTAGGTTTTCTGGTCTCAGGATCATGGCAATGGGTGTTCAAGTGGTCCCTTAGTCCACTGTACGCAGTTTCTAGCTTTCTTTCATTTTCTTCCATTCTTCTTTCCTCCAGACACAGAGAAGCACTTGTGTGTGTGCGCGCGCACATTCGGGGGTATAGCCCCGTTTGCCTTCTCACCCCTGTTCAACTTGCCTGTCTACCTATGCATCCACTCTTAAATATAGTGCATCATTACTATTATTATAGCATCATGTATATAGCAGTATTTGCCTTGGTCATTTTGTGCCCCCCCCCCCCCCCCACACGCACCTTTTGTCCCTTCACCCAAATCCACACATGTCTATGTTCTCATTAGTGATTTTCTCTCCCCTGCCTCCCATCCCTCGTCACCAGCAAAGAATATTCCTGTGTGTAAACCCAGAGCAAGAACTGTAAAGCAGCCAGGGAGGTTAGCTCTGAGGACATGGGGGAGGGGATTCCAGGGTAGGTTTTCTCTCCTACATGAGTTTTTATAAAACTGTCATGGTCTCCCACTTTTCTGAAATCTGATGCCTATTGTGTGACTATCATGGGCAGCTTGTGGGGGGAGGGGTAACAAGAAACAGGTTGGAAAACCTGTGGCTTAGAGTCTTAAAATCCAACTTTTACCACCCGCTAGCAGCCAGTCCCTAGTCAGTGCCAGCGGTCAACTTGCTTGACTGCTAAACAAAAGGTGCCCGAGGAACTTGACCGTCCGTGGGTTTGGGTTGAGGAACCAGCCCCACGCCCGGGGATGAGTGTGGTTAACAAGGTATATTATCGGGAATCTACTCGCTAATGAACTACGGGAGAAAGAAAAAGTCCCTCGCTTCTAGGCACACTAGACGTTGGTCTGACCCCAGTCACACGTGCCTGTGCTTTGCTTGCAGATGTGGAGCGCCGGCGGATTTACGACATTGTGAATGTCCTGGAGAGTTTACACATGGTGAGCCGCCTGGCCAAGAACAGGTACACCTGGCACGGGCGGCACAACCTCAACAGAACGCTTGGGACTTTGAAGAGCGTCGGGGAGGAGAACAAGTACGCCGAGCAGATCATGCTGATCAAAAAGAAAGACTACGAACAGGAGTTTGATTTCATTAAGAGCTACCGTCTGGAGGATCACTTCATCAAGTCAAACACCGGCCCAAACGGACACGCAGACGTGTGCTTTGTCGAAATCCCCGGAGTGGAATTTCGGGCAGGTGAGCAGCTCCACCGGTGTGTACGTCGGGTCGGTTCGGTTCGTTAGAGAGCTGGGCTCTCAAGATGCTGCTGCCCTTGAATGCTAAAACGCTGTCGTTGTGAACGGAATGACCGGCTTGTGGCATGTGGAGCCGTGTCACGTTAGAGTGACGCGAGCCCCTTCATGAACCTTAATTCCCTAATCCTCCTTCTCCCAAGCTTCTGTAAACAGCCGCAAAGAGAAGTCCCTACGGGTGATGAGCCAGAAATTTGTGATGCTGTTTTTGGTGTCGACGCCTCAGATCGTAAGCCTGGAAATTGCTGCCAAGATCTTAATTGGGGAAGACCACGTGGAAGATCTGGATAAAAGCAAATTTAAAAGTAAGTGCTGTGAATTGCCACGGACGAGGTATCGCATCCTGGACTTAACTCGTGCCCAGTTGATTCTCAGTTATACACTGATCTCCAGATAGATTTGGTACAGAACCAGGACATCTCTAGTTAGTCTTTTAGCATCTTCCCCTCAAAGCTGTGATGACTGTCTTAGCTAACTTGTAAGATTCAAAGATAGACATGTGATGACTTTTATCTGTCAGGTAACACGCGCTGGTAAACAGTTCCTTAAGCATCACTTCATTTGGCACTATGAAATGTCTGCATTGGACAGGTGTGGCATCTGCTGCGTCTTCCATTGACATGACTAGGAAGTTGTGTAGGACCAGAAAGGGCCTTCATTCTTTTTCTACAAGCTCTCATTCGTGTACAAAAGTACAGATAACTTTTCTGCAACTGTCCCCAGAAAAGACCTCATGTCCTAGTCAGTGTGCCGTTTGAAAGAATGATTTTCTCCAGCTCACTTGCTAAATAGCTGCTTGGACGGTGGACGGGGTCTTTAAGGCAGAGCTTGCGCCCTCACCCCAGCCCACATTTTGGAGGGGTCTCCAGGAGGGGGTGGGGGTAGAGAGAGGGTACAGAAAGAGGGGGCTCAACAGATAGAGGGTTGCCTGCTTTTAACCTTCCCCCGTACCCCCAAACTGCCAGGAAGTGCCAGTTTGGGCATAGGCCACTTGGACTTCAAGAACCCCTGGAGGGACCCAGCTTCATAGTTCGGGAGAGGAGCCACCCCATGCAGTCTTAGAGCCTGGTGGCCATGTCTTGGACTGGCTACCCACAGGCTCGGTCTCCTTTCCCGTCCACAGAAAGCTGCACTCGTCTTGTGGTACTTCCTCAAGTCCCCAGGTGGGTAGCACAGCTGTGAGGACAAGACCAAGTCGAGAGTGAAGGTAGTGATGCTGGAGGCCTGTCATTTCAGAAAGGCGAGTTCACCGGACCGTCTTCAGCCCTCTGCTTCACCGGTCAGGGACAGGCTTAGAAATGCATTCCAGGAACTGCAGGAAATCCCACACTCTCTGGCATGGCGAGCAAGGGGCACGACGTGGAAGCTGGAGGATGGACGCCAAGCAGACTTTCAAAAATGAAACTGTCACCAGATGTACAGAATGTCTAGGATTTACAGATCCACACATCACATACTACATGATAGGAGCAGGCAAGGCCCAGAGCTTCCCATGTGTATTGAATCAATCCTAGCCATAAACGATCACAAACAGCAAAGCACACTTATCGCCGAGGCTTGCTTTGCACATAAAATTCTTCTGAATACGCGCGTGCACACACACACACACACACACATACACACCTATATGTACACATTGTTTCCAATGATGTGATCTCATCAAGTCCCTTCTCGTCTTTCTCCATGTGTTTTTGTCATTCCACGATTTGGTGTCCACAATAACAGTCTCTTAAATCTTTAAAGCTATCTTTTTGCTTTAATTAAAACAGTATCACTCCGATAACTCAACAAGGAGCCACATTTTTCCCTACCTGCCATGGACGGTTTGGGTAGTAGCTCTTGAACGACCCATGAACTGTTTACGAAGCAAAGTCCTTTCATGTTGCATTAATTGTCATCTTTGCTTTCTTTTCCCAGCAAAAATTAGGAGGTTGTATGACATAGCGAACGTTCTAAGTAGCCTGGATCTTATCAAGAAAGTCCATGTAACAGAGGAGAGGGGCCGGAAGCCAGCTTTCAAATGGACAGGCCCAGAAATCAGCCCACATCCCAGTGGTATGTATTTTGTCGTTCCTTCAATCCCCTTTGGAAATCAGTTGGAGCTATTCCCTCTTCCCCTCCAGCTCACACCTTGTAGGGAAGGAACATGAATTAATAGCTAAAAAGACAGTGGTGCATGCTCACCTACAGAGGGAGGTGACCGGCTCCGTCGGTGACCCCAGTCCCATACATACCACCACTCAACGCATGTCCTGGAAGTAAACTCCGTCTGGGAGAGGGTTTGAAAACACTGAAAGCTCCACCAAACACAAGAGCCCACGGCTGCTCCGTGAGCACGTGCTGCCTGTGCCCCCTGAGACCCTCAGCTGCCTTCACAGGTATGAATGAGTTCACTCGGGATGGGGGTAGGTAGTCCCCACCTTCACGCTTTTGGTGGCACCAGGGAGTCACTGCCGGGCTAAGAAGGTCGGAAGCCCCTCGGGCGAAAAGCCTGACAAGCACAGCCATTGGAGAGCTCACGGAGTGCAGCTCCCCTTTGAAACACAGGGCAGCCCGGGTCAGAACTGACTCCGTGCCACTGCTTCATGCCCATCTTGAGCATGACCTTTTGTCGGGCCCACCCCTCCTGACCCCCGTGGAGATCCCCACTCAGAAGCACTGGACAATGGCAAGATTCTGGGCTGCAGAGGCAGACTTGAGTTCTGCAGCCTTGGGCAAGTTACTTGCCTTCTCCAGAACCTAGTTCTTCACCCCATAAAGCAGGAAGAATGGTGGCTGTGTGGTGGGGTTTCTGTGTCTGGGAGTTTCCACTTGGCGGGAGATGACTGGAGGTAGGATTCGGAGGACAGGTCCTGGGGTCAGAGTCAGCAGGCTCATTCATATCCCAGCAGCATGTTCTACTCCCAGGGAGATGTTGCATCCCACGGGTTCATGTTTCTGAGACCAGTACCCTCCTCTTGGAAGTAAGGTTGCTCTTCTTGAGACATACCCACCACCTTGACTTCTCATGCACAAGAATGCTCCTTTGAGGACTACGGTGCTCCTGACCCAAGCCACATTTCTCCTTTGCTTCATATGCATGTGAAAGTTGGATATTGAGTAAAGAAGACCAAAGAATTAATACATTGGAATTGCAATGCTGGAGAAGGATGTGGAAAGTACCGTGGACTGCTGAACGGACAAACTGATCTGTGTTGGAAGATGTGAGGCCAAGAGTGCTCCTTAGAGGCAAGGATGGCAAGACTCCACCTTGCCTACTTTGAACGTGTTGACCTGGAGAAGGACATCGTGTTTGATAAAGTGGAGAAACGGCGAAAAAGAGGAAGATCCGCAACGAGGTGGACGGACCCAGGGGCTGCAGTCGTAGTACTAATAGTAGTAGTAGATGGTGAGGATGGCACAGGGCCCCGCGGTGTTTCTTTCCATTGGGCAGCTGACTGGATGGCACCTAACAACAGGCTGTGTCATGAGGGTCACCACATTTCACCAGCACGTAGACTCACATGCATTTTATTTACTTACGACTTGAGAGAAAAATGACCATTACAACTATAGCACACCACCGATTATAAGCTAGTGTCATTTCAAGAGCTGTTTTAGTGTGAGCTATCGTCTCAGAATTCATTTGAAACAAAGCAACACTGTAAAGCAGCACACAGTCAGCACTCTGACTATCCCTCTATTTTTAAAGCCATCCTGAGATTAATATTCCGGAAGGAAGACAAATCACCTGTGTTTGTTGTTTTTGGTGAAAATACAATTAGCCGTTCCATTCCATACTTTCTGCCATCTGCAGATTCCACAAACCTCGTATTGACAATATTCTGGGAATTAAAAAATGCAGAAAGTAAAGCTTGAATTTGCAGCACAGGGAACGCTGAATCTGCTGAAATGAGATGCTGTGTGCGCGGCATCCCCTGCATTAGCCGCCCGTCCATTTCCAGACCCTCTGTCTCTCTCTCCCACTCAACGGTGGAGCATTGTGCCTCTGGCTTCTTGTTACCTGTGCTGTGTGCACCCTTGTTTCTACAGGGGCAGGAGAAGGCCTCCCAAAGAGCAATTCAGTGGTCCAAGCAATCTCTCCAAGGCTGACGGGAGCAGAGCTCCCGGGTATTGGGTACCACCAGTCATTGAGAAGCGGTCTAAAGCGAGCACATGCCTCTGGTGCGAATGGGGGTGTGAAAGGTGTCTGGATTTAGGAGCTGTGTAGAAATTGCATGCAAGTGCGATGAACAAGATTTAAAGGTCTTCAGATCCAACCGGGTCCTGGAACCCATTGCCTGTAGAATCCAAGCACCCGGTCAGCTTTCTCTGGCTCGTCCAGTGACACTGGTTTCATTGTGCTCCTTGGGTCCCCATTGTCCCCATCTCTGCCGACAGTGTTTCCTCGCCATCCATTTAGGCTCTGCCTCTTCTGGTTTCAAGTCCTTCACCTCTGCTGTGCACAGACCTAAGACTGTGTTGGAGCCTACCGAGAGCCAACTGATGAAAACTTCTAAGGCCTGCCGCCGCATGACACAGCCACTCTTCATCCCAGCTGACAGTTCATCTCAGATCATTGTTTTTATTTATTAAAAAAAAATTTTTTTTTAGATGGAGATTTACGGAGCGGTCCTCAGTTTTACCTTCTACGAGTTATACTCATTTGGTTTCAACTCATCCATTCCAATCCCCGCCATGTCCCACTTACCACCACTGTCCTAAGGCCCCGCCATTGCTTGTCCCACTGCCAGTGTTTCCTGTTTCAATTCCTCCCCCTCCCCCCACCCTCCGACCCTGGGTAGATGTTGCCCTTTGGTATGAAATGATTCTTCCACCACCAGGGTGCATTGGGTACCCAGACCTGAAGGATGGTGAAGGGTGATAGTCTCATGGGCCCGACCACCCTGTGTCTGACCAATACACATGGTCTCTTTTACAATTTTGAGTCTGTTCCACATTTTCCTCCCGCTCTATCCGGGACCTTCGACTGGGACCCTTTTCAGAGCAGTTGGTGCAGGTAGCTGGACGCCAGTGAGTTCTGGTCCCGGGGCGGTGGAAACTGAAGATGCTTGTGTGGACCATTTGTCCATTGGGCTCATTGTTTCTGTGCATCTCTCCCTTTTTGTCTTCTTTCCTCTATGTGGAGAGAGACCAATATTTGCACCCTAGGCGGCTGCCCATGAGCTTTGAAGAGCCCCCCTCAATCTTCACCAAAGGAGGATGTAGGACATTGTCTTTGTGACCTGTGCTCTGCCGGTTGACCTTGGTGTCCCATGAGACCACAGCACTGAGTCCCCCAAACCTACTGGCTCATTCCCTCAATGTATTTAGCACTGTCTAAGAAGTTTGGAAAACTTCCCTCCATATGCTCCAGGACATTCATGGGTATATTTACAGCAAATGTCAATCCACCTACACATGCTCTCTGTCAAACATACCTATGTATATATTCATGACGATATGACCACTGTCCCTCGCACACCTGGGTAAGCTGCATGTGCATCTTTGCATGGATTCCTAGAGCCACTCTCGCGGGACTGTGTCTGCAACAGCACTTCCTCTGCAGCCTTTCGCTGTGGCACGCTCCCCACGGCCTTCCTCCGGCTTCACTTTTTCTTGAACCTCCCCCTTATTGTCTATTGCCCTCCCCTTTACCCAAGTTAGCACTTGCCCCCCCTCTTGCTAACCCATTGACTTTCCCTCCCTCCTCTTGGCCCTTACTCCATGTAGCCATCCAAGAGTGTTTCTTATAGTGTCTCATGGTATTTGTTCTTTTGTGTGATTGGCTCATGTCACTGAGCATAAATCAGTGAACTCTGGGTCCATGCAGGTCATGGGGGGCTGCACAGGTTCCTCAGTTACTCTTCAACACTGTAGTTTTCTGCTGTCTCTGTAACAGCTTCTTCATCTTCTTGTTATTGTGAGGAGAACGTGGGGAAATATGGGCGTGCACGTGTCGAAGCTCTTTTTTTTCCTCTTTTAAATCATTTTATTGGGGGCTCGTAAACTCATCACAATCCATACCTCTATCCATTGTGTCAAGCACATTTGTATATTTGTTGCCATCATCATTCTCAAAACATTTGCTTTTGACTTGAGCCCTTGGTATTAGCTCCTCTTTCTTCCCCTCCCTCCTGCTTGATAATTTATTTAAAAAATTTTTTTTCATGGCTTACACCATCCAATGTCTCCCTTCACCCACTTTTCTGTTGTCTGTCCCCCAGGGAGGAGGTTATATGTAGATCATTCTCCCCCACTTTCCCCTTACCTCCTGGTATCCCTACTCTCATTATTGGTCCTAAGGGGTTCATCTGTCCTGGATTCCTTGAGTTTCCAGCTCTTATATGTACCAGTGTACATCCTCTGGTCTAGCCAGATTTGTAACGTAGAATTGGGGTCATGATAGTGGGGGAGGAGGAAGCATTAAAGAACTAAAGTTGTATGCTTCATCAGTGATATACTGCATCCTGACTGGCTTGTCTCCTCCCTACAACCCTTCTGTAAGGGGATGTGCAGTTGCCTACCGATGGGCTTTGGGTCTCCACTCTGCACTCCCCTCATTCGCAGTGATATGATTTTTTGCTTTTTGATGCCTGATACCTGATCCTATTGGGTGTCGAAGATCTTCCTGCTATTGGGTAGATACTGAGGAGCAGGGTTTCTGGCTCAGGTGTGTTTCCAGAACCTCTTTCCACAGTGGTTGCACCATCTTCCAGTGCCCCCCAGCAGTGTAGCAAGAGGGTTCCAGTCCCCGTACCCTGCACAGTGTCTGTTCTTTCCTGTATGGGTGCTGGGGTGACCTGGTATTTCACTGCTGTTTTGATCTGCATTTCCTGAATGGTAATGACCAGAGAACATTTTCCCTATATTCCTTGTTTGCCTGAATATCTTCTTTAGTGAACTGTCTGTTCAGGTCCTCTGCCCATTTTTTTTTAATTGAAATATGTATCATTTTCTTGTGAGATGTTGACATTTTCAACACCCAGATTTTAGAGACCAGTCCCTTGCCCACCAGGTCATTGCAAGCCCTTCCCACCCGCCTTTTGTGCATTCTCTTTACTCAAGGGTGAAATCTCCTGATGTACCAAGTGCCTGGTTGTTAGGACATCCGGTCATCTACGTCGTCTTCTACTGTGTGTGTTTCATTGTATTTCACGGTGTGTTTATGCCACGTGTTAGAGCCCCCTACGTTGCTCCATGTTTTGCACATTGATGATCTTTATAGTTCTGGATTTTACGTTGAAGTCTTTGATCCATTTGGAGTTTGTTTTTGTGTGTGGAGCGAGGTATACATCCGGTTTCCTTCTTCAAATGGATATCCCGTTTTGCCAGCACCGTCGGTTAAAGAAACCGTCTCCTCCCCATCTAATGTGTTTGGGTTCTTTGTCCAAAATCAACTGCGTCACACAGAGTGTTCTTTACAGTTGAGCCGAGTTGTTTAAAGATGCCTCTGAGGGATAGTGTCAGTTCCAGGCTTAAAGATTATCTCAGGGCAATCCTTTTGGGGTTCCCCCCATTGCAGTGGGCCCAGTACATCTGCCGCCCCACTGTGACCCAGTGCGCTGCCCTTCTCTGTTTCAGATTCCAGCCCCGTCGCTCCCTTTGCCCCCTCAGATTTGGAGGTGAGGCGCCCCTCAAAAGAGAACTGTGCCAAAAACCTCTTCTCTACACGCGGGAAACCGAACTTCACTCGGCACCCATCTCTTATCAAGCTAGTTAAGACGATCGAAAGTGACCGGAGAAAGATCAACTCTGCTCCCAGTAGCCCCATCAAGACCAACAAAGGTATGTGCTCACTAATGCCAGCCCCCCGCTGGGCAGAACTGCTCTGGATCTGATGTTTTAGCCTCTGGGGCCTTGGGGGGTCCTGGGTGTCTCCCCACGTGGCGAGCAGTCTGAAACCACCAGCATTGCCGAGGGAGAGAGATGGGCTGTCTCCTGTGGTGAAGGGGCAGCCTCAGAAACACACACGGGCAGCCCCGCCCTGTCTTACAGGGCGTCAGAATGGACTTACTGGGAGTCAGAATGGACTCAGTGGCAGTGAGTTGGGGTTTTGAGTTTGATCCTGGTGGTACTTATTAGAAAATCATTTGAATATCCATAGTTATTCCTTCACCTTCCCAAAGTCTGACGTGTGTATGATTTGAAGGATAAAAAGCAGTTGGTGGGGTTTATTCTAATTTTGGAGCGTCTGGGTGTATAAACGGTAAACACAGTTGGCTGCGAGCCCAAAGATGGGAGGTTAGATTCCACTCCGAGACACACCGTGCACGTAACCACCGAGGTCTGGCACTAGAGCAGCGATTCTCAACCTGTGGGTCTTGACCCCTTTGGGGTCGAATCCATTTCACAGGGGTCGCCCGATTTATAACAGCAAAATTACAGTGATGAAGTAGCAAAGAAAATAATGTGGACGGACAACAGAAAAGTGGGTGAAGGGAGACGTTGGACAGGGCAAGATATGACAACATAATAATTTATAAATTATCAAGGGCTCATGAGGGAGGGGGAAGCGGGGAGGGAGGGGGAAAATGAGGATCTAATGCCAGAGGCTTAAGTGGAGAGGAAATATTTTGAGAATGACGAGGGCAATGAATGTACAAACGTGGTGATAAGAGTTGTATGAGCCCCTAATAAAACGATTAAGAAAAAAGAAAATAATGTTATGGTTGGGGTCACCACACATGAGGAACTGTATGAAAGGGTTGCGGCATCAGAAAGGTGGAGAGCCACTCTCTGAAGCGTCAGCCTTTGACAACTGTGGAGCACAGGTGTGCTCTGATACACGGAGGGTCAGCGTGAGTTGGGATCTGGTTGCCAGCCGCTGACAACATTTAATGGCTGAGTGTTTGGGCGAGGGGGGGACTGTTCTGTTCCTGTGGCTTCAGTGAGAGTTCATCTGTGTGCACTTTTCTTCTGTGGCTTCTCCTCCCTCTGTTGCTTTTGCCAGCCGAGAGTTCCCAGAATGCAGCATCCTTCCCAAATAAAATGGCTCAGCTGGCAGCGATTTGCAAAATGCAGTTAGAAGAGCAACCCAGGTAGGTTGGTAAGGCTCTTTAGTTACGGGTGAGCTACTTTTGACATGGCATTATTAGGATCACTTCTTTCATGTAAGACTAGCCACCAGCCTGGGAAGCTGGCCCATTAACCTTTCCTATAGCTCCTACTCCATCATTACAGAAACGACCTACCTGTTTCATGAAGGGGGAGAGCTTTTTAGTGGGGAGGGGTTTGGGGGAAGGGTGTTTCCGTCGTGTCATTCTTAAAAAATCTTGTCTTCCAGTGAACCCCAAAAGAGAGCGAAAGTGCATGTGGCGAGGTCAGAGCACCGCAAACCAGTGGCCCCTCTGGACAGTCCAGCAACTGCTGAGCTGGAGCGAACGGCACCATCTCTCCTCCAGCCCCTGGGGGTGGTGCCCCTGATCCCCAGCACACTGTCACCCGCAATGCCTGTGATCCTACCGCAGGTCCCTCCGGGCCCCTCCTACGCCATCTACCTGCAGCCCACCCAAGCTCAAACCATGACGGCGCTGCCCCAAGGCCGGAGCCCAACGGTTTGCCCCACCCCCTCTTCACAAGCTACCGCCTCAAAAGATCCCACTGGTGCAGGCTCAGGCCCAGAGAAAGGGACCCAGGATGCCGAAGATCCAAGTGCCTTAACCCAACCTGGGGGCTTGCTGCCAGCGGCAGAGAGAGCCGCTTCAAAGAGCAGTGACAAGGAGCCTGCCGGGGACACAGGCTCAAAGAGAGCCCTTGTGCTTGAGGACCGGGGTTCCAAGAAGAAGTTTAAGGAGGACCTGAACGGACTTGAAAATGTCTCCACGGTAAGTAGAGCCTCGAGCCCTGCAAAGCCATAGCTGTCCCTTGGTTAATGAGAGGAGCAGGGGGTGGCCGGCGAAATCCACTCCCGCCAAGTGCAGCCTCTCTCGCAGACCTGGAGCTGTTCCTTAGCATCCCACCATCTCAGTGAGGCGGGGTGACGGCAAGGCTGTTTTTAACCTTTGGAGGAAGGGATTAGTTCTCTCTTTTTAAAGCTCCACCAACGACTGCCCTTAAATCCATCTCTCCTTCACGCTCTGGAATGCAAACACCTGTCGTGAGAGTCATAAATAATTTGCAGGCAGACGTAAGCCTGCATGGACGGGACACTCAGGGCTCCTGTAACCCCTGCTCTCTGAGTCATCCCCTGATGTTTGGTTCATGTCATGGAACGGGCATCTGTTGCCTGGGACATAAATCACCACCCCCACCCACCCCCCTTTCCCCACTTCATACATACAACTCAGCGAATTCCTATTTTGTGTAAATAGGAAATCCAAACTGATCTTGGGGGACATTGTAGGTCTATTTGGTGCCTTGGGCTCTTGAGCTTTTTCTTTGTCTGGAGACTTTACTTTTCTCATGCCCTACTAGCCCCCTCCTGGTGCAGAGCAGTGGGGGAAGGGATTAGTGTTAGCAGATGCCCACTGGGTAATTCCAACAGCAAGTGCACTCACTGGGCTGCTCACAGAAAGGTTGGCAGTGGGATCACCCGGAGAGAGGTGTGTGCCCCAGAAGAACAACCAGCCCTGGCAAACCTACAGAGCACAGATGGGGTGACCAGGAGTCCCCATTGACCCAACGGCCACTGGTACCCACAGACCAGATGTTGTGGGCACGAAACCTCGGGAAGTTAGTGGAATGTGTCAAGGAACTTTATTGAAGGCCCCCCACCCTCACCCTATCTCCTGCCGTCGGATAGTGGTCCATGAGAGATGTGTGATTGAATTTGTGAGCAGACGTTCGTCTCTCATCCTGCCCCTGCTATTGGTTCTTCTTCTGCTTCTCTGCCCTGCTTTCCCACCTCTGTGAAGCATTTCCCACCTTTGTGCTGCCTCTCGTTCCTGCTCACTGACTGCAGGTGAGGCCCTGGGCTCGGAGTCCAGTCGAGCCTTTTGAATAGCTGCCTCATGGCCATCCAGCCATGTGGGGAGAATCGTGAATGTTTTGCAGGATGATGTCCATAGAGGGCTTGTGTGGTCCTTTCAAGGCACTGTGTCGGCTGTAGGGTGTTATCTGTTAACTGTTGCTACTCAGCGCTGTAGAGTTTGTCAGATCTCCCCGGAGGACCGCCTCATGGTAACCATTGAAAGCATCTATTGTCTTCCCATCCTATAGCCTGCATTTAACATCCATGCAAAGGGAGAAATCACAAGCTTTGACTTGGTGCTGTTTTCTAAGCGATCCATCCATCATCTCAGGCCCAATGGGCAGAATTTCATAATGGTCTCCCATTGCTCCCTTAGTGATTCAAGTGAAAAGACCCACCGCCACCCCCAGGAAACCCTGGCTTCACTTTATCCATCTTTCTGGCTTCATTTGGACCCCTTGGTTTGGGCCTGGCTGAAGAGAGGAAAAGGGAACTGAGAAAGACTCGTGCGTGTACTCGTCCGTTCATTTGACGGACAATTCATGAGGCTCTCCTCTTCTGAGAGGAGAGAGAAGCCGGTAGACCTCCGAGCACAGACACGCCGTGTAGTGAAAGAGCAGAGCAGCTAAGCACTCAGCTACCAGCTGAAAGGTCTGTGTTGAATCCCACTCCGAGGCACCTCAGAAGACAGGCCTGGTGATCTCTCTCGCCGACGGAGGGGTTCTAGTCCACACCCACAGGTCACCACGAGCCCACGTCAGCTGGATAGCCCCGCACAGCAGGGACAACACAGTGCGCAGGAAGCCAACTCGAGGACAGCGGGGTGAGAGGGCTCCTCGGGCTGGATGGGATGATGGGCACCAGGGCCTTCCAGAGGGAACGTGCCTCTTCCATGCATCCCTCCTGCTCATTGAGTAGCTCTCGTTTCAATGAAGAGAGCGGGGGTTGTAGGTGAAGAGATTTCGTCGTGAGCGTAGATTGCACAAAGTTGGGAGATAATTACCCGAGCACTGAAGGGTTTTCCTGAAGACCTGAAAGAGTTTGAACCAGCCACCTGAACACCTTGCCCTGCGAGAGAGGTGTGAGCGCGATTAGAAGCAGCCAAGAGCCGCTGTTCCTAACACTATACCCCACTCCTTTAAAAAGTCTCTATTCCGGCAGCTCTCTAGGAGGCTCGAGCAGTAAACACAGTGCCTGGTGGCGAGCGTCTAGGAAACTGAGTTAAAAGCTCACTGTGCACGGTTAGCACTATGGGCCCTGGATTCACTGTCCCCAGAGGAAAAGACAGGGCCAATTAAAAGCGAATGTGAGGGCAGTTGCTTTTGCAATGAGACAAGAGAGTGATGAAGGGAGGCCTTGTTTACAAGAGCTCCTGCCCAGCCCCCTGCACATTCAGCCGCCTCTGCAGACCTTTGTTTGGCAAAATGACTTCCTCAAGGAGACAGAGAGTGTGTGTGTGAGGGGGTGCTGCTGCACAACACTTGCATCTTGGCTGTTTAAAATGTGACTTGATTGCCTAAACCAGGGGTCCTCAAACTTTTTAAACAGGGGGCCAGTTCACTGTCCCTCAGCCCGTTGCAGGGCCGGACTATGGTTTAAAAAAAAACTATGAACAAATTCCTATGCACACTGGACGAGTCGGCTGCTAAGCAGGACAGGCAGCAGCGGCAAAAACACCTGGCGGGCCGGATAAATGTCCTCGACGGGCCGCATGTGGCCCGCGGGCCATAGTTTGAAGACCCCTGGCCTAAACCTTTGGCTCCCAGATAATTGGGACTTTGAACATGAATGAATCAGTTCTCTTCTTCGTTCTGTGGTTCTTTGTTGCTTTTATTGGACCTCTGGTGCCCTTTAGTTTGCATATGATAAGATGTTGGGCTTAATATCAGAATTTGAAATACTAGGAAAACTACATAAACTCACTCGTGTGGTTCCTTTAGCTCAGCAGTTGGCAAACTTGCCGTAAAGGGGCAGAGAGTAAGTCTTTCAGGCCACGTGGTCTCCATTGCAGTTACTCAACTCTTGTGACCCTCAAGCAAAGGCCTTTTTTAGACAATGCATACGTGAATAGATGTGGCTGGTTGCCCATCAAACTATTTGTAACAGGTGTCAAGGGAGTGGGGGCTGAGAGATGGATTTGGCCAATTGACCGTTGATTGCTGACTTCGACTATAAATTAAAAGCTTCCCTGAATCACCGTCAAGTCCATTCCAACTCCTCACAGCCATCTGTGACCGTAGAACTCTTGTTTCTGAGACTGTAATCTACAGAACCGGACAACCTCATCTTCCTCCTGCGGCATGATTGGTGGATTCTAGGGCAGCGCTATTCACAGCCCCTGGTCCATGGTCAGAGGGGACTCACTGGAAGCTTAATCCACAAATGGATTATCGGCTGTCACTGTCATCCATTGGATTCTAACCAACAATCTCTGTTCAAAGAACTGAGTTTCTGTTAGCAGCCCAGTAAGTGCCTAGCCACTGTGTCTTTCGGGCTCCTGTTAAGAAATAGCGTGCGCACACACACACCATCTTTCAAGAATGATCAAATATGCGTGGTGTTCATGTGCAGTAAACTTGGTTCTGCCAATGAGCACTGCGCCATTCAGTCCAAGGAGCCTGGTGGCAGGGTCAGGATGTCTGTGCGAGGTCATGCCGGGTCAATTCCTCCCAGAATCAGGTTCCATCCTAGCTTTAGGGTGTTTCCATTTACGGAACTAATGGTCTGCTCTTGGGGACAAATGGTGGGGGAGTTTACCGACTTCCAGTCACTGGTGGCCAACCTGCTCGGAGCCCAAAGCTTTCAAGCTTTTGAGCTGCTGAGACAAACAACCAAGGGATATTCATCCTGAAGAGACTCACGGCCACCATTCTTCCTATATTCGTGTCTAAAATGAACCCTCCTTGTTTTCTAGACCTTGTTCCCATCAGGATACCTGATCCCTCTTACCCAGTGCTCATCCCTGGGGGCGGAGTCCATTTTGTTGAGTAAAGAAAACTCAGGTACCCTTTCCCCAAACCACGGGGTCTACAGCTCCCCGATGGCAGGTGAGTTGATTGGAAATCCCTCCCGTCAAAGCGGGTCAGTCACAAGCTCACTAGAACCTTGCGAATGTCTCAAACAATGCCCGTGCTTTTAAGACGTTCTCCGCCTTTTTCCTTCCAGGTGTTATTCCAGTGACATCTTCTGAACTCACTGCTGTCAATTTTCCCTCTTTCCATGTCACCCCCGTGAAGCTCATGGTCTCAGCAGCTTCTGTGGCAGCTGTACCTGTCGGCAACAGCCCGGCTCGCTCCTCGAGCCACCCCGTCCCCGCCCAGCACCCGAGCTCAGCCATTGTCAACTTCACCCTGCAACATTTGGGACTGCTCTCCCCGAGTGTGCAGGGGGCCTCCAGCCCTGCACCCGGGACCGTCCCTGTGTCTCCACGAGGAGAAGCCATTAATGTCTTACCTGAAAACACAGGCAGGGCTGCCAGGTATGACTCGCCCGTCCCAGGCCAGAGCCAACCCAATGGACAATCAGTTGCTGTTACAGGGACACAGCAGGTAAGGGTGTTCCCATTTCACTTAGTTACTAATATCCTTCGTTAGTCCTCCTGGCGCTTAGGAGCTTTGGTGGCATAGTAGTTGTAAGTTGAGCTGTGATCTGGAAGGTCCACAAGTTCAAAACCACCTTAGAAGACAGACAGGGCTTTCTACTCTCGTAAACCGTCTTAGGAACTCAGAGAGGCAGTTCTACTCTGTGCTATGGGGTCAATGTGAGTCAGCACCGACCCCATGGCAGTGGGTTAGTGATTACTGCCCCTGTTAAATGTATTTACAATTGAGGGAATAGATGGTCTCTCATGTATATAAATTACATGATAATTATTAATAGTGCCATGTCCTTTTATCCATTGTGCCCTGGTGTCATTGTGTGCTCTTGAATTGGGTTGCTAAACCACCAGGTCAGTAGTTGGAAACCACCCGGTGCTCAGTAGGAGAAAGATGAGGCTTTCTACCACCGTAAGGAATTACAGTCTCGGAAACCCTCAGTGGCAGTGAGCTTGGTGTTCTTGTTTGGTTATTGGCTATTTACCACTTGGCTATTAAGGGCTCGAGATCAGGATCGTATAGGACTTGCTTGCACTTCCCTTCCTGGGTGAAGAGAAACGTGGGACAGTGAGGGCCTGCCAGGCCTGCCTGTTGCCTGCCTTCCAAAACCCAGGATGAGTGCCTACAGTTACCATTATTGGGTTATCATAAGATTTTTAATTTAACCTTAAAAACAATTGAAAAGTGAAATGCATCAAGATGTCTAAGTCTTTAAGTGTTTCAAGGTATCTTAAAGTCCCCAGCATGTTATACGTCTATATAGCCAGGCCTTCTTAGATTGCTGGGACATGCATATCTGTGTGGGTCTGGGTCTAACTTCTTTTCCCCTCCTTGCTTCCCATGAACCAGCCTATTCCAGTAACACCGAAAGGGTCACAGGTAGTGGCCGAAAGTTTTTTCCGTACCCCAGGTGGACCAACAAAGCCCCTGGGCTCATCCTGCCTGGATTTAGATGGCGCCACGCAGACCTCCCTAGCAACTCTCTTTGTCCCACAGCGAAAACTAGAAGTCTCCACGGAGGACGTCCGCTAATGGACAGATGTTGCCTTAATCTGTAAAGCGTTGTTTAATAGAGGAGATGCACCCAGGCTGCCTAGAAGAACACGTTGTCTGAGAGGAATGTAAACATGTTGGTAGGTTGGCTTGATGCCCTAGCAGATACTTGCTTCCATGCTAGACACACACGTATCTGTTTGCATAAAGCTTGGTTCAGCCTGCGGTCGTGCAAAATAAAAGGGAAAGGTTGACCTAAGACCTAACAGCTTTTAGGAGGGAAAAAAAAAATTCATGATTTCAACTGTGCCTACGCGATGATGCAACACAAAGCCAGCGTATTAAAGTTTACTTCCCCTTGAGGAAAAGACTCATGACTTGTGTCAGCAGCACAGCATTCTCTGACAACTTTGCACAAAGAAAATGCTGTGTTTTGTATAATGTTGTATTTTTTTTTAAAGGAAGGCTGTAGCTATCTATATTTGTAATTTCTCTAATCCATTGTTGCTGCAGTCTTGTCTCTTTGTAAAGTTGGCAACGGCCCTCAATCAAGTCTATGGAAAAGATTATTTATAAAATGTATTTTTAATCATAAATTGTTCAAATTAAACCTTTTATAAGACGCAGCGATGGTTTTCATTTGGCCAGCGGCAGCATGTCCGCACTGTTCCTCTCACCTAAAGGCTGGCGGGGTGAGCTCACCCAGCAGGTGCCATGGAAGACAGGCCTGGTGAGTTACTTCCACCACAACGTCAGCCCAGCAAACCCGATAAAGCAGCACGCTGTACCACTTGGGGTCGCCAGGAGCTAAAATTCATACTGAGGTCGTTGGCTCACAAAGGTTAAAGCCACATGCTCTAGCTCACACCGCCAAGCATTTGCAAAGACAACTCTTCATCAGACCTGCCTGTCCGTCCGCCTGTCTGCCTCTGGATGCGTGCCTAGCAGACTTAGAAGGGGAGCCGCGCACATTGTTTCTGGGTCATCAGCATTGGTGGACAATCCCTTTCAGGTCTCTTTGTTTGCACGAGGACAACAAAGGATTGGCCGTTTTCACTTTGACCCAGAGAGGTATCTGCCTCAGAGTATCTTTGCCTTCACTGTGATCCAGCTTTGGTTGGATG